GAGCTCAGGGTTGTGAGTTCAAGCCCTGCATTGGGCTCCACACTGGGTGTGGAGCCTATTTATAAAAAAAATAATGATAAATAAATAAATAAAGCCCCTCAGCGGAGATCCAGAGTCAGACACTCAAGTGAGCCACTCAGACACCTTACTCACAACCCTGAGATCAAGACCTGAATCGATACCAAGAGTCTGGTGCTTAACCGACTGAGCCACCCAGGTGACCCTAGACAACTATTTGTTTTTGAGATTTAAGTCAGACATTGAAAGATGAGTAGGAAAGAGAGAGAAAGGGAAGACTTCTAGCTAAGGCCGGGAAGTAGGAGTATGCTGAGCAGGTGTGTAGGAGAAATGTCTGATTGGAGCAGAGGGACATATCAATGCAAAGTGGGAAGTAAGGTGGGAGAGGGGACTGCATAAGATTGTGAAATTCTGGAAAGCCAGATAAAGGAATGTAAACAAAGATAACGGAGATAAGAGAGCCAAACAAGGATTGAGTAGGGAAGAACTGTGATACAAGTGAACTCTAAAAGACAGTTATCGGGGCGCCTGGGTGGCTTAGTCGGTTAAGCATGTCTGCCTTCACCTCAGGTCATGAGGACCCTGGAATCAAGCCCCACATAGGCTCTCTGCTCAGCCAGGAGCCTGCTTCTCCCTCTCTCTCTGTCTACTGCTCTGCCTAGTTGTGCTCTCTCTGTCAAATAAATAAATAAAATCTTAAAAAAAAAAACAGGCTCATAAATGTATCGATTTTAGAGTTGGCAGATCTTTGTTTTCCAGATGGCAAGAGAGAGGATCAGAGAGGTTCAGTTAATTGTCCAATCAACCAATTAACTGGAGAAAGGATGGGCTAGAACCAGACTTCTTACATCCAATCCAGTGACCTTTCCTAAACTATGTTGGATATGAGAAGCTTCCAAAATCAAGGCAGTTTATACTTGGGTTTCTCAGGTTGACTGACCATAAGCAGTCAATTTTCAAAAAAGAGGATTTACCCTTTCTGTACCCAGTCCCTGCCAGCTCACTTTCAATCCATATGCATATGAACTGTCTGGCTGGTTGGGCTTTCAAACAAAAACTCCTTGGATTTGTTTTACTAATCCTTACCGCTATATGGCTGGACAAAGTGAGGACCATCACTGACTGCCAGCCTCATTCAGCAGTGTTTTCATACTCCTCTATGGATAACAAAGTCAAATGAATGACTTCTCAACAGAATAGAATCTTAGAGTTTAAAAGATCTTACCCTCCTGGGTGCCTGAGTGGCTCAGTCGTTAAGCGTCTGCCTTCGGCTCAGGTCATGGTCCCAGGGTCCTGGGATCGAGCCCGGCATCGGGCTCCCTGCTCAGCGGGGAGTCTGCTTCTCCCTCTCCCACTCCGCCTGCTTGTGTTTCTGCTCTCGCTATCTCTCTTTCTCTGTCAAATAAATAAATAAAATCTTAAAAAAAAAAAAAAAAGATCTTACCCTCCCACCCAAACTGAAACCCTGTAGACATTACTTAAGACAGATAGTCCTCTTGGGGCGCCTGGGTGGCTCGTTGGTTAAGCATCTGCCTTTGGCTCAGGTCATGATCTCAGGGTCCTGGGGTCGAGCCCCGCGTTGGGTTCCCTGCTCCGCGGGGAGCCTGCTTCTCCCTCTGCCCTTCCCCCTACTTGTGCTCTCTCGTGCTTGCTCTCTCTCTCAAATAAATAAAATCTTAAAAAAAAAAAAAGACAGATAGTCCTCTTGCCTCTATATCTTTTCAGGAATGGGGTGATCCATTCCTTTGTCAGTACAGCTCTGATTACTAGAGAGCTCTGAGTCTGAGTCCTGTGCCACCGAACTGTGGTTCAGTGAAAATAGCACAGGCCTTTGAGTCAAGCAGACTTGGGTTAGAATTCTGACAATATAATTTGCTGTATGACTTGCACAACTTATTTATTTTCTATCAGTCTCTTCTGTAAATTAGGGATAATAATGCCTATTTTATAGAGTTACTATGAATATTAAAGATTATTATGCATATTAGAGATTATGTAAGTTTTTTAAAAAAGATTTTATTTATTTGAGGGAAAGGGAGAGAGCACAAGCAGGGGGGAGGGCAGAGGGGGAAGCAGGGAGTTCCCTGCTGAGCAGGGGCTCGATCCCAGGACCCCAGGATGATGACCTGAGCCAAAGGCAGATGCTTAACTGACTGAGCCACCCAGGCGCCCCATATTAGAGATTATGAATAAAAAATTCCCTGTGTGTGCCTGGCACAAAAGAGCTAATAAAGCGGTAGCTATTATTATTGTCATATGCTATCTACATATGCCTTTCAATACTTTCAAAACGCTTGAATTTAGTTGTCATGTTATTCCTACATGCTCTTTTTCTTAGAGGAAGCATCTACCAATATTTTCTCCCATGGTCATCCTGCCCTTGACTATGCTCCTGCATACCATGTTTGTTGGACATGGTGCCCATAACTGAACAAAGTATTCCAGGTGTGATCAGACTGCTTCAAAACAAAGACCATAAGCCTCTATTCCCCAGACACTACTCTTCAAGCTGCCTAGAACTCCTTTAGCATATTTGGCAACTGTGTCACATATCGCCTTAGTCCTATGAAAACTTCCATGGAGTTTTCATGTGTATGAATTTGCAGTCTTCTCCATTTTGCACTTGTGTAGAACTTTTTTAATTCAGGAGTAAAACTTTTTTATTAAGTGAAAGCCTATTATGTATTAGGTATTTTGCTGAGTTCTGTGGACCTAAAGATGACTGTAGAACAAAGTATCAAAATACTAGAAATGTGAGCTCCACAAGATTGGGTCTGTCATGTTCACCAATGAATCCCTATTTCTTAGGATGATGTCTGCACACAGTTATGTGCTTAACTGTTCGTTGAACAGATGAATAAAATAGTGGAAATTTTTCCTGTAAGTGGAAAGGCATTTCCCTAATTCACTTATTTTATCGATTTGGATATTCTGTACTAGCCTGTCACTTTTAGTCCAACCCTGGTGTTGAGAGAGTAGGGTAGATCCAATCTCCAAAATAAAATCGTACTGTCCCTTTCAAGGCCAAACTAAATACTTACAGGCTTTATTTGCTGGATGGCCGTTATATCCCACCATTGAAGGCCTTTGGAAGCACTTTTTGACCCTTAATGCAAGGCTTCAATCCCAGGCTTAGCATTACCAGTCCATACCTTCTGAGCACAAAACACCCAAGAATCTCCTGAGGTGAGTTCTCTCTGGCCCTGACTTTTTGTGGGGATAGAATAAGGTCTTCAGGAGCAGTGTGGGGTGATAGGTTAGAAGGACCTTGAAATTCTGCATTGGTCTGTGAGGTGCTGCCAGGACCTCTGAGTCCTCTCACAGTTTTTTCCAGTATTTGGTCTACAGGTGAGGCAATGCTCGCCATCTTGATATCAAATACCAGGCAAGCAGCCACTAGCGTCGCTCGGTAACCACGGAGACACCCGTGCCCCGCCCCCCCTCCCGTTTCCCATCCATAGAGGCTGTAAACTACGATTCCCATCAGCCGATTCTCTCTATTTGACGGCGAGTTGTCTAGATTTGGCTTTCGGCCACAGCGACCGTGCCGCAGTGAACTGCGGGAGTTGCGGTTCGCGTCGAGGCCTCACTTTTTGCCGCGGGAACCCCAGCACTACAAATCCCGTGAGCCAGTGGGCTCACGCATGTGCACGGAACAGCGGGTCCTCCCTGGCCCCCTGCCGGTGCCTGAGAGGTAAGAGAGGGCGGGGGGAAGGAAGAGGAGGCGGATCCGGGCGCTGCGTTGGCTGCGGCCTGGCACCAAGGGGGCGGCCCCGGCGGAGTGCAGACCCAGTGGCCCCCGGTGATTATGGACCCAGCCGAGGCGGTGCTGCAGGAAAAAGCGCTCAAGTTTATGGTGAGGAGAAGGCGCAGGCCTGGGAGCGGTGGAGGCGGTGGCGTTGGCGACGTCGCTGAGGCTCGGGCCTGGGCCGCCTGCCCACAGGAGGAGGGGGCAGCGGGATCCTGGGCCGGGCGAGGCCGGCGGCGGGGGCAGCTGAAGGGACCGGACGGGAGCTTTAGGGAGGAGGGTTGCGGAGAGGACCCGGGGGTGGGGGCAACAGCTCCGCCATCTTGTGGATGAGAAGCCAAGTGACAGCGGGAGCTTAATCGGGGAGGGGGCTCTGGGCGGCGCGCGGGGCCCTGGAGGGAAAGGGGCGTGGGGACAGTTACTGAAGAGCGGAGGAAGCCCAGAGGAGAGACGCCGTGAGGTTGCTGGCAGGGCCTTTTCGGTGTCAGGGTTACGGGTAAGGCCCAGCAGAGGAGGTGCGTTCAGGAGTGGGGAAGGGGAGCGCGGGATAGTGGAAGGGGAGATATAAGGTGGGGGGCCAGTGGGGAACGGGCAAGGCGGGATGCAGATGGATCTAAGGGTGGAGGAGAGAAAGCCAGGGCAGGTGGGAGACTTGTAGTTCTGTAGAATGTGGGGGGGGGGGGGGGAGGAGGGGAGATAGCCTTTGCCTTCAGGGTACAGTCCCAGTTTGGCCAAACTAATGTTGACAAACTCTGGAAAGGAAGAGGCCTTACTTAGGAGGAGAAGGGCGAGGGATGGAGACCTAGGACTATGGTGATAGTCTCTAGGGAAGGAAGGGGGTGTTGATAGTGAGCCAGAATTACAAATGTCAGAAAAAGGGGTACATACTCTACTTTGAAAGGAGAAGCTAAATATTGTAGCGAGCACGAAGTGATAAAAAGCAAGAGGCTGATCCATCAGGGAAACATGGGTACAGGAGATTAGGGAAAAAATTAATATCTAATAGGGTAAAACAAAACATAGTGCTAAATTGTAAAGAAAGTAAAATATGGGCCCTGGTGCTGTATCACTTTCTGAGAAAGGAGAGGCCATGGAGATTACAATAGCAAGACTCCTCTAAGAAGTGATGAGATCAGTGGAGAAATTCAGGAGATAAAGGGGAGATCTAACTAGTGGGGAATAGGAGATGTCAGAATTGGTGGTTACTTATCAGTTTTAAGTTGAAGCACAGTATGAAGTTGGATTGGAATTTGTTGGGTGTATTTAAATCCTTTGGAGCCTAGTTCTTTAACTTTCTATCCGCTTTTCTTTTGCTATGCTTGTTTGGCAAATTTGTATAGGCTGATATTTGATGCTTTTAATCTGATGCTTCTTGTATATCCTAGGTGTAAAACCAGACTTTGTGGTTACAGCTAAAGAATGGTGGACTGCATAGACTGCTGTTTTAACAGGTGGCTTTAGGGATATTGATATTATTTGCAGTGGAGTGTTGCTTTTTCGGAAGTAATTGTAACCTGTCACTCCAAATCTCATTTCTTCGATGGTTGTTATTTTGTTTTTGTCTGAAATACTAAAACAAATCTAAATAAACATGGGTACCATCCTAATTGAAATTTGGCTTTAAACTGCCCCATTTATAAGAATACATCTTCAGAGACTGGTCATATTTACTAAAACTTTATTTTGTACTAGTGCTTTCAAAAACACCTAACTAAAGTTTGAATATATCATTAACAAAATCCCATTAGGCCTGAAGAAGGTTCTTGAGTTTCTGCCAATGTTGAAATTCTAAAATACTAAATTTTTTTGAAGTTTAGAAGTAAGAGGAAGTTGCTTGATATTTTACATTGAATAATCTCTATGCTAAATAACCTGTATGCCAGCTTCTAGATTTAAGTCAGAAAATTGGCAGCTGCTTGTTTTTGTTTTCCTACTTAGAGGTTGACTGAGTCCTAATCTTGACACTTATGTCAAATTTATGGAATAATGTGATTTATAGATCATAAAGAGACATTATGAGATCATCTTCTTTACTCCCCATTAGACCTCAGCCTAGGAACATTCACAACTACTTGATCTCCACTTTGTACTAGTGAGTTAATGTTTCGATAATGGTCTCCTGATTGAGTTAAAGTGGACCTGGAGATGGCCATGTAGTAGTTTAGCAGCTTTTAGGGCACCACACATTATTAAATGTTGAGTCACTTTCCATAGGGAGAAGCCAATTTTTTCTTTAATTTTAGTAACTTTCATTTTTGACCTTGCCTGCTATTTTGGCTACTGCTTGAGAAAAAGGCCAACTGGAAGAGGGTCACCAAGAAGGACTTCTTAATAGCTAAAGCAGAGAATGGAGAGTTAGAGATTTTGTATTTTTTAGCTCAGTCACAGTCTTATTATGAATCTGAGTAAGTCACAACTTGCCTTTGGTCCCATTTACCCTACTATAACGTGTCTTTACTTAGTCAGTTTTGAGATAGGAAGATACTTTATTTGTGCTTGCACCAAGTAATTAGCACAGTACAACATGGAGGAATGATCCTTTTAATCAAATTGAGATTTTTGTGTAGTATTTGGCTTTGTTTTGGCCTTACTCCTTTCCTCAATTGCAAATTGTGAATGGCAGTTTTTGTACGGATGCCCTGATTTCCATGGTTTAAGAAAATGTAAAATTTATTTCAAATGCTAATGTGAAATAGATATTGTCTTTCATGAATTTTGCATATTACAGCATTAATGTAGTGCTTTGATAACAAATTTTAAAATAAAATCTTATTAGCAAGACTGCTAATTCATAGTTGACCATAGTTCACACATAGTTTAGATTTTAAATTTATCCTTGGATACTTATGAAAAATAGTTCAAGGGGAATGTTTAACTTCTAGAAACAAATGATGTTAAAGCAGTAGTTCACATTAAGTAACCTGTATGCTAATATTTCATTTAGTTTTAGCAGGTCCTCAAGCACCTTCTTAACTAATACTTCCTTGGTCAACAAAATTAAAATTCAGAAAAGATAAATGGGAACTGGAAGAGGATCTGAGAAGAGAAATGAAAATGATTGAGGGAATGTAGGCACCATTTTATAAGCAGATATTAAAAAAATCTATATGGGAGATAGAAAGATGAGTTGAGGAATGAATTTGAATTTTATTTTTAAAAATGACCAGGATAAACCAGTCCTAGAATATTAGATCTCGGGAAATATTTGAAACTTAGATGAAATATTTTAGGGCATATAAAATACTTTTTTATAGAATTGATAGATAAGGGAAACAGTATAAAAGGTAACTTGCAGTGTAACAGACCACCCCACAATTTAGTGGCTTAAACAATTTTTTACTTCTCTGAAATTTGTGGTTGATTGATGGTGTTGGCTGGGGTGCTGGCATAGCTGGAATGTTCAAAGTGGCCACATTCACATAGATGACCACTGGCTGAGAGTTTAGTTAGTCCTAAAGGCCTTCAGTCCTCCTTTATGTGCCCGCCCCCCTTCGTTCTCCACATGGCCTTTGGATTTACTTAAGCTGGGTGCCTGGATTCTAAGAAGGAGCATTCTAAGAGACAGGAATAGAAGGCGTTCAGCCAGTTCTCTTACGTCCTTGGATTGGAAGTCTGAGAATGTCACTCTTGATCAAAGACAGTCAAGGCTAGCCCAGAGTCGGAGGGGAAATATTCTCTACCTGTAGACAAGAAGAATGACATTCATAAACAGCTAGAAATTGCTGGGGGTCATGCCCTTTTGAGACTGGCTGCCAGGGATGCTATTGTAGTTGGATGTTCATGCTAAAAATACAAATGGGATTAGCCAAATTTGTAAATAACAACACTGGGTTTACTTTGGAAGCATCTCTTTTTTGAGGTTAACTTCTTAAGGAACTAACATGATCTCCTGCATGACTTGCCTTAATAATGTCACTGCAGAGATAATACTGGGTGAATTAATATGATTCAGTAACTTTTCTTATTTGCTTGAGAGGTGCATGTATCTAAAAGCAAGAAATTGCATTTTAAAATAAATACTCAGATTTTTCACTGAGATGGGCTTTTCTTTGAGTCAGTGAGATTGATTACCAGCTGGTTGGGTGAACATTTGAAACTAGTTCTTAGTTTTTGTCAGAGTTTCTATGTATCTTTTACCTGTTCTCAATTTAAGTTAGCCTTCAGTTTCTTTTCTGGATATTCTTATATAGGTTAAGGTATGAAATTACAAATTAGTGATAATTCTTTGTGCTAATTTTTAAAACTTATGTCTGTAATAGATGTACATATTATTGGAAGTGAATTATTAGATATAGAGAAAATTCTACTTTGAATGATTGTCAGAAATTTTTTATTGCTAAATTAGAAAATGAACTTTCAAAAGAGACCACTTATTATTCTATATTATTTGTATAGTGTTTAAATCCTGAAAGAAAGGAAGCAGATGAGAATTTTTTTCCCTTGTTAAAGGGAGATGGGACATATGTAAGATTTTGAGCATGTGTAGAAAAAATTATTTTATGGTAAATGGCATTACAATAAAAAAGAGAATGAGGAAAGAAAAAAATCTTTGTGCTATTGAAGTATTTTAAAATCCCTTCTACTTTTTTTTAAAGATTTTATTTGAGAGAGAATGTATGCGCGCACATGCGTGAGAGCATGAATGGGGGAGGAGCAGAGGGAGAGGAAGAAGCAGGCTCCCCACTGAGCAAGGAGTCTGAGCAGGGAGCCTGATGCGGGGCTTGATCCCAGGACCCTAGATCATGACCTGAGCTGAAGGCAGAAACTTAACTGACTAAGCCACCCAGGTGCCCCAAATCCTATCTATGTTCTAGCAATATTTTAATATGGCATGGAAAGTGCTTTCTAAGTATGTATAATAATTCACTGAGGATGATGTAGAAAATATTTACCAATGTTTAATAAGTCGGTCACTATAAAGAAAACTGCTTCTTTCCTCAGTAGTCAATCCAGCATCTGTAAATTGGAAGTAGAGGAGGGGAAAAAATACGGGATAGTTTCACTGGCTCATACCGTTTTGACTAGTATTCCATAAGATTTAACTTTTACTCTGGGAATCTCTTGATAATTCCCTTTACTTTCCTAAAGCCTGACTGAGACAGAGCTAG